AAGTTAACTGTTCCAAAGTTTACTGTTCTAATCTTGCTCACTGTAAGTTACAGGTAACTATTTCCATTTTCATCACTGTAAGTTATCTATATGGCTGAGGATGTTTTCTGTGGCAGTAAAACTGAAAGCTAAGGGACCCTCAGAACATTCTTAATTTTTTTTATTTATTTATTTATTCATTGTTCACAAAAAATTATTTCTTTTGACTCAACGTGTATCAAGGTTTTGGATTTTTATGATGTAAATGTTAATTTTAATTTAATTTTTTTCAATGAAGGTAAATCTTTTTCCTTTAGATTTGACTGGTAGTGCAGATGGGAGTGTCAGACTGTATGAGTGGGGTCATATGCAGCCACTGGCAATGCTACGGCAACCAGGGGCCTTCCCCAAAGTCACAAAGGTCTTGTTTAGTTCCCAGGGAAATAAGGTAAATATTGAAATCTTACTGATGATTTTCAGCTTATTAGCTTTGTTCTTTTGTTAATCACATTTCAGATGGAAAGGTTTTGGTAGCATGTTTCTTTTTAGTCTTGGGGCTAAGTTTCAATATTTATACTGTGTATCATTTCCTTTTTTCAGTGCTGTGTGAGTGACACTGAGGGAGATGTCTGTCTATGGCAAGTGGGTCTAGGCAGCAACTTCACCAAACCAATCCTGGTATGTACATAACGAATATCAATATACAGTAAAACATGCTTATAGCTAAATTCTTATAATTTAGCTATAAGTTGACCCATAAAGCAGTGATTTACAGTCCTCTTCACTTTAAATTATATTTTAACAATTATTGAACAGTTTACAAATATAACAAATCATGTTTATACTCGAAGCAAAATTGTGAGTTTCTGGCACTTTTTAGGTCACCTGAGTAAACTCAGGTGACCTATTGCTATCCGTTTTCGTCCGTCGTTGTGCGTTGTGCATTGTGTGTTAACATTTGAACATTTTCAGCTTCTTCTCTGCAACCACTGAACCAATTTCAACCAAATTTGGCACAAAGCATCTATGGGTGAAGGGGAACAAAAATTATGAATTTCATGATCCCTGCCCCCCTGGGGCCTGAGGGGTGGGACCAAAACCACTGAAATTAATGCAATCTTTAAAAATCTTCTTCTTTACTCCTGGACATCAAGCAGTCAAACTGTTTTGCATGATTGTAATCAGCATTGAGTCCTCTACCAAAATTGTGAAATTCATGGCCCTGGGATCAGGGGTTCTAGTGCTAGGGCGGGGCTAAATAAGTATATAGTAAAAATGCATTATATCTTTGAAAATCTTCTTCTCTGCTCCTGGGTATTAAATAAACCAACTAAGTACGTAGTTATGATGAGCAAGAGTGCCTCTACCAAAATTGTTAAATTCATGGCCCTTGGGTCAGGGGTTTTGGTGTTAGGACAGGGCTCTATTGATTATATAGTGAAAATACATGAATTCTTTGAAAATCTTCTTCTCTGCTCCTGGGTATTAAATGGAATAATTAAGTTCATAGTTATGATGAGCAAGAGTGCCTCTACCAAAATTGTGAATTTTATGGCCCCGAGGTCAGGGGTACTGGTGTTGGGGCGGGGCTCCATTGATTATATAGTGAAAATACATGAATTCTTTGAAAATCTTCTTCTCTGCTCCTTGGTATTATTTAGACTAATTAAGTGCATAGTGATGATAAGCAAAAGTGCCTCTATAAATTGTGAATTTTATGGCCCCAAGGTCAGGGATTCTGGTGTTAGGGTGGGGCTCTATTGATTATATAGTGAAAAAATACATGAATTCTTTGAAAATCTTCTTCTCTGCTCCAAGGTATTAAATAAACTAACTAAGTGCATAGTTATGATGAGCAAGTGTCTCTACCAAAATTGTGAATTTTATGGCCCCGGGGTCAGGAGTTCTGGTGTTAGGGCAGGGCTCTATTGATTATATAGTGAAAATAAATTAAATCTTTGAAAGTTTTCTTCTCTGCTCCTGGGTATTAAGCAGATAAACTACCTATATAGTTATGAGTAAGGGCCCTAATCTTCCAGAATTGTGAATTTCAAGGCCCCATGGTCAGGGGTACCAAAGAGGGGGGGGGGGGGACTGTACTTATATACTGAAAATGAATGAATTGTGTTGGAAATCTACTCCTTGGTATTAATCAAACATTTTTGAAAAGCAAGGATGCCTTTTCAAAAATTGTGCAATGTGTGGATCTAGGCCTAAGGGTCAGGGGTTAATGTGTGGTAGGGGCACAACTGATTATTGCTGAGCATTACTAATTAGTTGAAATGCATTTTTTGTTCCCCTACCCTGCCTATGGGTATTAAGTAACCAAACTAAGCAACTGCTAAGTGTATAGTTATGATGATCAATGCTGCCTCTTTCAAAATTGTGAATGCCATAGCATCTGGCTTAAAACATGAATCAAATTCAATCACTGGAAAGTTGTTGCATAATGCTCAGGTGACCTATAAGGCTCATGGGCCTCTTGCTTATAAAAATGTTTTATTTTCAGATCTGTTAAAACTGTATCTGAATTCCGCAGACTCTGAGGTCTGCAAATAAAGTTGTTTTTGTTTAAAAGGAAGTGTTTTTTTCATTTCATTCCTGTGGATTATTTACAGAGTTTGCGATGCCACAATAAGACGACCAGTGACTTTAGCTTTATTGTTCTATTTACAGAGTTTACGTTGCCACAATAAGACGACCAGTGACTTTAGCTTTATTGGTTCCTCCAGTCTCATTGCTACAGCAGGCCACTCATCAGAGAGCAGAAATGTCTGTTTATGGGATACGCTGCTGCCCCCTAGGAGTGCTTGTGTACATTGTGAGTATAAAAGGGGGTTAAAACTAAAAACAATTGGAAAGACTGTTCCCTGTGATGGAAAACCTGAATACATAAAGTAAAATTCTGAGTAATTTCAATGTCTGATATTTTGTTTCAGAAATATTTTTCTTCTTTTAATGTAATTTTATTTCTATTTGTTGGAAATATGAAAGTACAGTGTAAATGTGAAATGTGTGGAATTTTTGTCATGAGTTAATCACCTACTTTCTGTAACCAGCATTCATCTGTCATGAACATGGCTGTCCAGCTATTGTATATGCACCACATCACCAGCTTTTAATATCTGGAGGACGAAAAGGAGAAGTTTGTATTTTTGACATCCGTCAGCGACAGCTGAGACACACCTTTCAAGCACATGATGTACCAATCAGATGTCTAGCCATGGACCCTGAGGAGGAGTACTTTGTCACCGGGTCTGCTGAGGGAGATATTAAGGTCAGTAACCAAATGTTTTCTTCTTCAAAAATTGATTTTAATGAGAAAATTCTGTAGTCCTCTGTCTATATGTCTGGGGTCAGCCTGCTTTGATCACATGACAGGATGGATTGATGGAGCTCTTGGCTAGTAATCCAGGGGGCCTGGATTCAAATCCTGGCCTGGTCCTTGCAGCATTCTATTTTCCCATTTCCTGTTACATTTGGTGTTGTTCTGTGCCCTGGAAGTGTCAGGTGAACAACCTGCCAGAGAAGAGTTTGGGTCGGTGTCTTTATAAGAGGGTGTGTGGTAGATGAGGACTTTTAAGTGAGGATTGTTGCTGTTAGGAAGGTTCAATCTAAAGTGACCAGATGGGTCAAATGGTGGAGGACTTGGCTATTGTCTTGGGGTCCTGTGTTTAAATCCTGGTCTGCTCTATTGCATTTTTCTCCTTTCCTGTTACATATCTAAACATTTTATTTTCATACCTCGTGCATCAGGGTTATAGAAGAAAAAATACACTGAAAGAACTATTTATGTAAACAAAATTTATGACTTTAAATTTGATATTTTTCAGGTCTGGGGTTTGGATGTTCATCAGCTGGTTGTCAATTTCCCGGGAGAACACAGTAAAAGTACATTTTTTAAGAACATTGGTTCCACCTCAGGTGTAACACAGGTAGCCATTGGTCCAGAACATAATCTGTTTTCTTGTGGAGTTGATGGATCCATGAAGTTCCGATCACTACCCGAGAGAGAAACAATGGTGCGGTATTGGACAGCATAATTATTTATTTTAGTGTAGGGCAGATGTGGCACGCTTATTGAAATAGCTTACTGTGAATGATCACATTCTGTATTTCATGTTAAAGTGGATTCTGAGATACAATTGTGCTATCTTCCAACCACTCTATATGATTGAGATAATCTAATTGTGTTCAACAGAAAGCTTGTATTAGCTGTTTTGAAGGACTTTTATTTATTTTTTTGGAATTCTTTATTTTGTGCCATTGATTTGAATTTTAGTTATTATTTTGTTAAAAGTCCCTTAACCCATTCTGTGATTGGTAAATGTAAGTTAATATGGATCAGAGTTTGAAATGTATTTCAGTAGTATATGTATGTGTAACATTATACATGTATGAATATTGTTTGTCCATAAGGTTATTTTTAAAATCCCACCACGGATGACCTCTGACCCTCAAGAGAGTGGCCACCATTTTGTCAATATGTACAAATACAACAAAAATATTAAACACTGCTGTTTACAGATGGGAACTTAATTTAAATGATTCCTTTCTTATGTAAATGTGATATTTATGTGGCATTGATGTCTACCTTGTTCAAGTACCAGGTATGTCATACTTACGTGTGTGTGTACTAGGAGAGTGCAGATGTACTGTTGTTCATTCTAGTCTTGTCTATTTATAAAAAATAAACATATAAATCATGCAAATGATTATAAATGATAATCTACATGTACCTTGTAAACAGAAATATTTAATATTGTCAGATTTTCTGATGTAATGTTTCTGTCTGATTCAGTGCTATCATATTCAATAACATTCCTTTATTGTTGAATTTATACTTGAAATAACCTCTACTTATTTTATTTTAGTCGGAATTGTTATTTACTTGTAACAATTATTTAATGATTATGGGGTATACATGTAAGTTCAGTACAGTCTATTGGTTTGTTAACTCATTAATATACTGGGTACTATACATATATATTGTACAACCACTAACAAAATGGAGAAAAGCTTAAGAGCATTCAGTACCTTCTGGGTATGGGATTATGAAATCTATTTATTTTCAATACAATATTTGTAGATTATTCTAGCTCATTCTATTAGTAAGATCTAGGAGGAAGCAAGCACTATTCCAGGTATACCTTATTTGTTGTTGAGTATTTCTTCTATAGGCAAAAACTTAAAGTGTAACGGTATCCTACATTCTGTACAACATACTGAATTTCAAAGTAGAAATATTTTAGTCAAGTATGAATGTTTTTTTTAATATTTTGTCACTGTGGAAGCTCTTGATTGATAAAATTAGAAAATTCGTGAAGATCTTTAAATATTTGTTAATATATCAAACAGAGTTGAGATAGTTTTATTAGCAATACAATCTATTAACTGGTATGAGTAATAGCTATGTGTAGTACTTTTGTGTCATTTGTCTGTTGGTATTGTGTGCTATTTGTTATCCTTTGTCTTTTATTTTGTTGATAATAAGCTGTTGGTCTGTGATCATATGTAGATAACTATATATAAATTGTTTTCTTGGAAATTGCATTAAAACATCAGAAACTTATTTTACCTGTTCCCTTCTTAAGAAATCTTATTTTAGTACATGTATTTATTGCTTGATTTGGACATGGATATGTCCAAAAGGTGGATTTAAGGAACCACGAATCTTCCTTCAGTGGATGTTGAATGGATTTAAATGTAACAAGTTTAGCTTAATACCAAGTTGGAAACTCAAGTGATCTATACGTAGACCAGAGTATTTTTGTATGTACAAGGTTTTTTTTTTTAGCTCACCTGAGCCGAAGGCTCAAGTGAGCTTTTCTGATCACATTTTGTCCGGCGTCCGTCTGTCTGTCTGTCTGTTGGTAAACTTTTCACATTTTCGACTTCTTCTCAAGAACCGCTGGGCCAATTTCAACCAAACTTGCCACAAAGCATCCTTGGGTAAAGGGGATTCAATTTTGTTCAAATGAAGGGCCATGCCCTCATTCAAGGGGAGATAATTGGGAATTAATGAAAATTTGTTGGCATGTTTTAAAAATCTTCTTCTCAAGAACCACTGTGCCAGGAAAGATAAAACTAATGGGGAAACATCCTCAGGTAGTGTAGATTCAAGTTTGTTCAAATCATGACCCCCAGGGGTAGGGCGGGGCCAAAATGGCCGACCAAAATTTTACATAGAAATATATAGGAAAATTCTTTAAAAATCTTCTCAAGAATGACAAAGCCATAATAAATCATATTTATATGGCAGCATCCTCAGGTAGTGTAGATTCAAGTTTGTTCAAATCATGACCCCCAAGGGTAGGGCGGGGCCAAAATGGCCGACCAAAATTTTACATAGAAATATATAGGAAAATTCTTTAAAAATCTTCTCAAGAATGACAAAGCCATAATGGATCATATTTATATGGCAGCATCCTCAGGTAGTGTAGATTCAAGTTTGTTCAAATCATGACCCCCAGGGGTAGGGCGGGGCCACAATGGCCGACCAAAATTTTACATAGAAATATATAGGAAAATTCTTTAAAAATCTTCTTCTCAAGAATAACAAAGCCATAATTGATCATATTTATATGGCAGCATCCTCAGGTAGTGTAGATTCAAATTTGTTCAAATCATGACCCCTGGGGGTAGGGCAGGGCCAAAATGGCCGACCAAAGTTTTACATAGAAATATATAGGAAAATTCGTTAAAAATCTTCTCAAGAATGATAAAGCCATATTTCATCATATTTATACGGAAGCATCCTCAGGTAGTGTAGATTCAAGTTTTTTCAAATCATGACCCCTGGGGGAAGGGCGGGGCCAAAATGGCCGACCAAAGTTTTACATAGAAATATATAGGAAAATTCTTTAAAAATCTTCTTCTCAAGAATGACAAAGCTATAATGGATCATATTTATATGGAAGCATCCTCAGGTAGTGTAGATTTAAGTTTGTTCAAATCATGACCCCCAGGGGTAGGGCGGGGCCAAAATGGCAGACCAAAGTTTTAAAATATATAGGAAAATTCTTTAAAAATCTTCTCAAGAATGACAAAGCCATAATG